ATCACTTCCATTTCTCTCTGCATGACTAGGAAGTTCTGTCTCCACGAGAGATGGAGGGAAGACTGCCAGAGAAGTAAGAAAACAGAGCACAGTTACAAGTATGTGTGACTTATCTGACACAAATCTGTCTTGACCCTGCATAGAAGGGCTACAAACCACTAAACAGTTGCAGGGCAAGGACACTAAGCAACTCCCTACACTCATCTAAGTGTAGCAAGCACAGTGAAAGCCAACAACTTAAAGAAGTTTTCCTTCTCCGATTGCAACAAAATATGAATCAATCAACACAAATTACAACTATGTAATTTAAGGAAATTCAAGACAAATTAGGCTATGGAGTGCAACTAAAAATAAAGATTAGGAAGTAAGAACAACAGAAGAGTGGCAACAATTATCTGTAAGTGAAAGGTCTAAAAATGCTCTTTTAGTATATGTATTAAAAAGAAAGAAAATTATTACAGGGATGGTTGGCTCACAGGTGGCACTGGATTATCTTTGTGTGTCATATTGAGGAATTAACTAGTTATTTTTTGACTATCTGAAGCCTTAGGGAGTTTCTCCAGATAAGATATGCTAATTTACCTTCAGCTTTTCTGGCCCATTGCCTTAATGGCATAACATCTACATCTTTTTCCACATCTGGACAGAAGTACATTACAAGCATACAGGAATTTATCTAGCTTTTTATTGAAGAAAAAGAATGTGATGCACTGATGTGGTGGTTTTACCCTTCTAGGCGGCTGAACTCCACCACAACTGCTCTCTCACTGTACCTCCTCAAAGGAAGATGGGGAGACAATACAACAGAAAAGGGCTCAAGGGTTGAGAAAAGGACAGGGAGATCACTCTCACATAAGGAGATTAATGGAATTTATTGCCTATCACTAATAGATTAGAGCAGTGAGAAAATAAAAGCAAACTAATTCCTCCTCTCCTTCCTCACCCACCCTCTTCTACCTCCATCCCCTGAGTGGCACAGCGGAATGGGGGCTGCGATCAGTCCTTAACACTGCATATCCACCACTCCTTCACAGTGGCTCTCTGCCCCTGCTCCATGTGGGGTCCTTCCCACGGGATGCCGTCCTTCCTGAACTGATCCTGTTGGGGCTGCCCACAGGTAGCAGCTCTTCAAGAACTGCTCCCACACAGCTCCATACCATGGGGTCCATCCATCAGGAGCAAACTGCTCCAGCACAGGACCCCCACGGGTAGGCGGCATGTCCCCCCAGACCTCTGCTCCTGTGTGGGCTCCTCTCCATGGGCTGCAGCTCCGGCCCAGGGCCTCCTCCTGTGGGGGCTCTCCATGGGCTGCAGCCTCCTCCAGGCCACAGCCACCTGCTCCACCAGGGGCTCCTCCACGGGCTGCAGTGTGGAGATCTGCTCCATGTGGGACCCATGGGCTGCAGGGGGACAGCCTGCTCCACCAGGGGCATCTCCACAGGCCACAGGTGAACTGCTGCTGCCTGCCTGGAGCACCTCCTGCCCTCCTGCTGCACTGACCTGGGGGGCTGCAGGGCTGCTTCTCACTCTTCTCTCCCAGCTGCTGTTGCCCAGCAGTTTTTTTCCCTTTATTCAATCTGTTCCCACAGATGCACAACTAACATTGCTCACTAGCTGGGCTCTGGCCAGCAGCAGGTCCCTTCAGAGCTGTGTGGAGCTGGCTCTGATCTGACATGGGGAAGCTGCTGGGCTCTGCTCACAGAGGCCACACCTGCACCCCCCTGCTACCAAGCCATTGTCATATAAACCGAATACAGCTGAAAATTTGCAGCAGGGTTGCCTCAGTAAAGATAATGAATATTAACCATATTAACCATGTATATCTTAGGCCCACCTATGATAAACTACTAAAAATAAGTTATTTTATAAAAATAAGGTGTTTTTTTTCCTAGCAGAGAAAGTGCATTGAAGACTAGATTTAATTGAACAAATCCTAGAAAGTTTTTAATCACAGCTCATTGTAGTGCATCTCCTTTTTTTTGCTGCTTTGATCACTAATATATCATCCCAACAGGCATTTCTTTCCCTCCCTGAGAACAAACACACTGGTTAAAGTACTATCAAAGGCATATATATACTTTATTTCTTTTTTTATCTATCATAAATTGTAAATATATTGATATTTCCTTAAAAAATTACCACACCACTCAGAGACTTAATGGTTACCAATGGATAAAAGAGTGAAAACAAATCATAGATCAGGTTAAAAGATTTTTTTCAGTCTGCCTCAAGAATTTTCAATCTCTCTTCCTCATAAATACAATACAGTTGGAAGTTCAAATGTATTTAGCCTACAATGACATGGTTTGGGAAGTTTTCACACAGAACAAACTGAAACTTTACTTAGTGTTGTTCACTCTACAACACAGAATTACTTCTTTATCCTTTTATTTTATGTAGACTTTTGCTATGGAAGCAACTTGAAGGTATTTAAAAGACCTTACGGATATAAACAGACATGAAGATTGATCATCAGATTCAAGCACCAATTTAAACAAAGAAACAGGACACATATCCAAATGAATAATTTGAAATACTCTACTTAACACCTTGTTATCTGCTAGAACAAAACACACATGTGACTCTTTGCCTTGTGACCTTATTTCCCCACATGAAATATAAGAAGAACAATGAAGCAGAAATATAGTTAATAAATACAGTAACACTAATTTCATGGGTTTCTTTTGTTTCAACAATGTTTTCCAAGTCCGATTTCAGAATTTACCAAACTTTTTCAAAGTATAGTTAATAATCCACTGCTGAATATAACTGTTAACTTCTGAAGCACACCCTATGGAAGGTGATTACGGTAGTGCCTAGAGTACAATTTTCACTTGGAACAAAGTTCACCAGATCAGCATGGAATTAGCAACATTCGCTTGTCTCCACTTTTTTGTTGCTGTTGTACTAACATAAGTGGAGTACCTAAACCCTTCTAGTTACAGATATTTCCCAACAAGATCAATACTACATACAGTATCACATGAACCAACTACTCTGGGTCAACATATCAAAAAAATTAATTATAACTCAAACTCATTTTGTCGTTTAAATCCTATGTTGAATGGCTATGCAGTGTAACAGCCACAAAACACTTTTTTATGGAATTATTGTTAACAACCTTCTGGTTAATTTCCCACCCCCTTGTTTTCAGTGGTGTTAAAGATGTTTCAAAACATCCTCTAGATAGGAAAAGGAGTCTGAAGCAGTTACTCAAGTTACTGTGCTCTTCCCCCTCTTTTCTGCTGAACAGTATTCACTGCAGCTTGCTCAGATCCCAACAGAAAAGGAACAGCACATGTCCTTAAAATAGCTCATCAAGGAGGCATCAGCTGCCACAAGAGTGAGGGGAAAACCTCATGCTATGTAAGTACCCAACAAAAGGTACATCCTACTCTCCTCCAGATGCTGTGAGGAACCACTGATTCCACACTACAACTCCTGATGCTGTGAATAAGCTGAAGGTGTGAAGTCCAATTCCCCAGGACAGCCTTTCAATCTTACTGCTGCCAATGACCCTTCCACAGACAATTTTGTGCAGGGCAATACCAGCTTATCTAGTTCCTATCACTTTTCCTTTTCTCCTACTGGTCTACAATGGGGTTCACAATTGTTGGTCAGGACACTCTTGGCCTTCATGCCTTTTCCAAGGCATGACTGACTCTGTGATGCAGCTTGAGAGTCACTCCTCCTATTCACATTAATCAAACAAACCCTCCTTCTGCCATCCAGAGGATTTAGTCCTTGTCCTCCTCCACCGAAAGACTGTGTTTGCATTACCAGTCTGTCCCTGGAAGAAGGATTACAGCAACAGATGAAGTAGTAAACATGGCTTAAGCATAATGCCATTGCATGCCCGAAAGGCTTCATTTAGAGCCAAATATAGCAGCAAAAGGAAAAGCAATATCCTGAACTTCCCCAGATTCATAAAGGTGTTGAACAGCAGGTTACTCTATTTCCATTCTGTAGTTTTGCTTTCACAAAATTAGAGACAAGCAGCAACAGGAACCCAGTAAAAACCTCTTCCATGTAACAGCATTGAAAAGAAATAAAAGCAGCAAGAGAGAACAAATGTTTCCTACTCTCTACAAACACAGATGACAAAGGGGATCCAAGACAGTGAAGTGTGATCCAATGCCCTATATCAAGCTTAACATACACACACAGAAACGCAGAACATGAAAAGAAATGCTGAAAAATGTCTTAATTTTTGGTGAAATGAGTTTTGTAGAAATCACTAGTAATAACTGGCATTAGACAAGAAGGATATTAAAACATTTTTTATTCACTATATTAATTAAAAAAAAACACCTCATCCACCAAGGACATGTAAATAGTACTCAAATCGGTTCTTAGTTCTTGGCAGCTATTACCCTGGCCACCCAGCAAACAGTACATAAATGAAAATAAACAAAATAATAATTCACAGCCAAGATTTGTTTCCTGGAATCATATCAACTATTTCAAGCGCCATCAAAATAAATAAAAAAGGAACATTTCCTTATTTCATTACGTGCATAGATCAAATAAAGAAACAGCAAAACAACAGAATATATTTTGAATGGAGATTCTATAGGAACTTGGCCTTTTCCTAGTTCAGAGATCCTGGGTAATGAAGTTTCCACAAATCTTTAAAAATCTACAGGGAATAGTTGAGGGAAAATACAATGGAACTAGTCTGGGGAAGAAAAAGAAAAGAATAAAAAGAAATAAAATATCTGGGGCTGAGATTTTTTTTTTTCAAGTAGCATAACAGAAGGCCCACTTTTTACCCAATTTTGAAACACCAACTATGCACACATACCTTTGCCTTTATATTCTACCACCCAAATTAAGGAAGAAAAAAAAGGAAAAACAGAATTAGCATGTTGCAGTTCAAGAAACAATTGAGTTTGCTTATGAAAAAAAAAAAAAAAAAAGTAAGGTGACATCATACCACCACATGACTTTCCACATAAAAAATACAGTGCAGATGTATTTAACAAAATCTACAGCCTTACCAGTCAGTAATGGTTCTCCTTTGATTTCTATTCCATCAAGCAGTTTGATCAAATGGACAGATGTAGTGATGAGACCCAAGTTCCTGTTATAAAATTGGAAAAAATAAAGAACACTTCATATGAAATATAACCCAAAAAGCAAAAATCCTCTTCACTTTAGTTAGCATCATGTCTTCAACTAATATTCAGAAATTCTGAAATGTTAAGGAGTTTTTCCTACTGGGTCTGACTGTATCAGTAGCCATAGTACCACCATCAGAAGTGAAAGGAACTGGTTTACATTTTGTTTCAGACTTCTACAGTTTGGTTTTAAACATCTTGTTTTCTTTAAGATAGAAGATTTGTGTCCTTTCTCAGTTTGTAAAGCTTCTCCATGCCTTTCTAAGAATACATTAGAGAAAGGACATCTAGAAAGGAATAAGTTTTCACATTTTCACAACATCACCATTCAAAATAATTCAGACGTAATACACTATTCCTGGTTGCCTTAGTTTATGTATTATCTCTAAGTAAGGTACATTCTAATGATAACCAATGGAGGGAAGGCACAAAATATGAATTGCTTTGAAATCCATAGCAACTATATTATATGATTACAGTTCTATACCCAATACAAGTAGTTAAAGAAGAGATGCCATAATTGAATTTTTAATAACTTTTAAAGAATAGGAAACAAACATAATCAAAAGCTTATATACTTATTTTGAGCTTTCACTTATCCTTAAAGATAACTACAACATTCAGCTCCTAGACCAATAGCTGCCAATGAACAATGATCAGTCCAGACATAACTACTTCCTCAAGGAAACCTGAGTTCATTTAGTGTTACAGCAAAAAGCAAGAGCAAATTTTAGGAAAAGCCACACAAAAAGCCCATCACCTACTGCTTTTTTTATGGAATGATGCAATATTCCCCCACTGAACCTTCAGAAGACACTCTTTATTGAATAGTGGGAAAAGTTGAGGCTATTGATATATCTTTGACTTCATCAGACCGCACAATAACAATTTTGGACACAACACATTCAGACTTAAATACTCTTCCCTTCAGATTTTGCTATTCTTCTAAATCCAATATTAACAACTAGCAGGTTATTCCTGCAATTTAAACAGTTTTGTTTGCTTGAAGTTCTAGCATCCAAGGAAAGCCATGATACATGCTATTTAGAAATAAACTGCAAGTACTTACAAACCCTGAAGAAGTGATTGGTGACTGCTATCAAACAAACAACACGGTCAAATCACAGGGAAACATACAAAACCCTGGGCAAGAAGCAAGGAAGATGAAGTAATCATTTATCCCTGCTATAATTTGAAACACAGGGTGTCAGTAAATATAAACTAATTTACAGCCTGCCAGAAGTGTGGCCATTTGGAATCAATAATGACAAAATAATTCCACAGCCAAAAATCAGCAATCCTAGAGGTAGACAATGTGTGTGTCAGAATGTACATGCAACAGGGGTTAAAAAAAAAATCAAAAAATACATTATAAATGGAAGGAGTTTCAGCTTTTAACTCATTTGTGTACTTTAGTAGTAAAGCTGTTTCAGAAGAGATCAGTCAAGACAGAGTGACTGAAACTTCATAATACCATATCTGCCAAACCTCCACACCCAGGCATGAGTTATTGCAAAAATATCACATCATCACAGATGAATGAAGAATAACTATTTGTCTTCTGTAGGTGTTAGACAAACAAATTATCTTTCCCATTATGCTCTACAACAGAAAAGAAACCAAGGATGCATTTATAGATATCAAATGCATACATGCACACCAGTATACATACAATCCATTAAAATCAAAACATTTCTCATTCCTTCAGACCCCAAATTTCTTCATAGCATGCTGTCGTGCTTTAACCCAGCCGGCAGCTAAACACCACACAGCCGTTCACGCACCCTCCCCCCACCCTCTCTGGGATGGGGGAGAGAAACGGTAAAGTGAAGCCCGTGAGTTGAGATAAAGACAGTTTATTAAGAAAGGAAAAAAATAACAACAACAATAATAAAAATAACAACAACAATGATGATAATAGTACTACTAATAATAATGTGTACGAAACAAGTGATGCACAATGCAATTGCTCACCACCCACTGACCAATGCCCAGCCTAACCCCGAGCAGTCCGGTCCCCCTCCCCCGGCTAGCCTCCCCTATATATTGTTTAGCATGACATCAGATGGTATGGAATTCCCCTTTGGCTAGTTTGAGTCAGCTGTCCTGGGTCTGTCCTCTCCCAGCTCTTGCTACACCCCCAGCCTGCCCGTTGGCAGAAGAGAGCAAGAAGCTGAGAAGTCCTTGGCTTGGTGTAAGCACTGCTCTGCAACAATTAAAACATCGGGGTGTTATCAGCACTCTTCCCATCCTAAGCCAAAACATAGCATTCTACCAGCTACTAGGAAGAAAATTAACTCTGTCCTAACTGAAACCAGGACACATGCAAAACAGAGAAACTGGAAGGAACAAAGCTTCATATTCCCCAGTAGTTTCAAAGTTATTAAACAACCCATGTGTTTACAATCATCACATTCTTTCCAATACAGAATCAGTTTTGATTTTGGTCAAAAAAAATTGTAGTTTTTCTTTTTTTGAATATCTGAATGTTGCACACTTCAAAATCAAAGGCACCTAAGTTTTATTCTATTCACAACTTTTAATCATTAAAGATATTTAATCCTTAAACAAGCTGTGCAACTGTTTAAAATCTGCAACTGTGTTAAAATCAGCACAAACATATGGCCAATATGTTGTTAGCTCAGAGCAGCCACTATGGTGCATACACCATTACCTTGCTACAAAGCCAAAACAATACCCAAAGAGCGACCTACAAAGCCAATCACTGCTACAAACACCATCAGACTTTCTGTACACACAGACTTTCCTCCTCCTGCAAATTAAAGAGAACTGCTGTTACTAGCATCCAGCTTCCTAAATGTGCAAGGCTATGCTAACTGCTTAGAAAGGGTAAGTAAGCAGCATGGGTAGAACCAGCGCAGAGCACATTTCTGTTTGGAAGCAGGTTTAATATCTGAATTCCATGAGAGAGTTAAAATTAGACCCATTAATGTACACTAATAATAATAAATACATTAATGTACTTGTCATACTACTGAAAAGGACAATTCTACTACCTCCCAGACATGCAATTCAGTTCTCTCTCTTTTGTTAAGATGAGTGATTAAGGAGCTACAATACATTACAAATAAGGAATCCAGGCTGGCTGACCAACCACCCACCCAAAAATAACAAATATATTTTCTGTCAGATCAGTTTCTTGATCCACAACATGATCACAAGTGCTAGGACTGCCAGAAACAAACATGTAGGAGCCTGAACTCAGATTTAACTTACTCTAAAACTAATGATTTCTACAAACAGCCCTACAACTTCTACAGCATTAACAAAGATTCTGCCCCAGCTTTGTCCCATGTCCCAGTTAAATTTTATTAAGCTAAATAAAATTTGAGAAGTCCCAAGAAACCACATTTTATGACGGTATTCCAGTTCTTCATGAACTAGCAAATTTGAAGCAGGTTTGTGTTTTGGTTTTGATTGGTTGGTTGGTTTTAGAGTTTCTTTTGAATAGGTGGTAGACTACCAGGTTTTCAGTTATGACAGCTAGCTGTATCCCAAGCATCCCTTCAACGTTATAGCAGGCCCAGGCAATAAATAAATAAATAAATAAATAAATAAAACTGCCTGAATAATTTAATCAGCCTGACTTATTAGCATTGATATTAACTGTACACATGTGAGGGCTGAAATGTAGAGTTCTACATACAGTACTTTGCCATAGGTACTAGACAGATCTATATGTACTTAGAAAAAATAAAAATCATATAACTGATAATTAAGACTGCTTACTTATTCATTACATTACCCCCCAAAACATAATGACAGGAATGAGAAAAAAGTTCTACAGTGAAACTTATAAAAGGTTTATATCTTTTGCATAATCAACCCATACTAAGAACACAAATGCTTCTTTCTATCATTCATCAGTGCTCCTGACTCTGACCTACAAATAGGTCAGAGTCAAATTAAAATAAATCAACTAACACAGCAGAATAAAATATAAAACCACACAAACATCAGAAGGTTATAATTTTGTACAGGTTAAAATGGATCAAAACTATACCTCATGACATCTTGATTCTTGGCACACTCAACACAGGCATTCCTTAGACATCTGAAGCATTCTGCTACGAGCAACAGACAGGTGTCTAAATCCAGCAGTTCACAGGAGTCTTTGGAGGCCTGTTCAATTTCATTCAAGGCTTTGGTCAGGATTTTGAGGAGATCCTGAAATATACTTTCTTGCGCCATTTCTCTGAAACAAACAAATTTGTAGTAAGCACAAGAACTGCTCTGCTATCAAAAAGGATAATATTATGTCAGTTATATTTCTTGTTCTTAACACTAAGGTATTTCTGCAACAATATGTAACTACCCTTAGCATAACAAGATCCTTCAAGTGGAAAGCACAAAGTATGTGTTCACAATCATCCCACTAGCCATTCAGGAAAAGACTTTGTATTAATACTACTAATATGATTAATACTATGGCTTAGAATTAATGCTGTCGCTTTAGTATTTCTCACAGCTTTCCAACACCACTTTGGAACCTTAGAAACAAACAAAAAGTCTCTGTATATAGCTTGCATGATAACATTACACTGCATATTGTTCTAAGAATCAGGAATTGTTTTAACTAGCAAATGCAGCTACTAGCACTAGATGTTTCAAAAGAAAAAAATGTACCAGAAGCTTCATTATAATAGTCTGCCACAAATTTCTCCACAGCAAGAAGTCTTCACAAAAGCAGGTATCTGCACTAGCCACCATTCTGAAGAGTATAAATCGAAGTCAAGAGGGAAAGTCCAATCTCTACTTCAGCAGACAACAAATACTACACCACTACTTAAAATATCAAAACTTAAGAAAACAGTACAAAACCTTAAGCACAAAGACAATAATGTGAATGGATGAGAGAGATGCTGAAGCATCCAACAGTTCAGTTTACCAGATTCCCATGACTAACACACACATCTGCAGGTCTGTCATATAGGCCTAGTGTGTACGCTTCCCAAGTGCAGCTATCCACATATTCTTCCCCTCATTTTATGTTCATAAAGGAGATGAGGACAACCAATCAAAACCATTGATATGGCATTTTTGATATAGCCTGCTGGTGAAAAGAAGCCACACCTGTATCAATACCATGAATTTACTGGGGAGAGGGGAAGGAAATCCAGTTGCAGCTTCCTCAAAGCTTAAGCAGACCTGCATAGTGCTCAAGATCAAATAGGGAAGATAGTTTCTAAGACATAAGGTCGAGAAATAACTCCTAAGCTAAGGACAGAAGAAAGTAAGATAAAGAGGAAAGTAACATTAAACAAAGTATGTTCGCACAGAACACAACACCATTCCTAAAGAACTTTAAAATTTCTTGATCAAACAAGATGATACAGTATTACTTGCATTCTGCTTCTCCCCCAGATATCCTCAAATACACACAACTAGAAAGTCTATCTATCCTTTATCAAAGGTGATTACACTTCCATAAACCAAACCACATAAATATTAAATTACTAAAACATATGATCTCCAATAAATACTTATTTTACACCAACACCTCACAGTGGATCAAGACCAAAACCCTTACACTATCTCCAGCTACTTAAAAAGGACAAAAAGAGAATCAACAATACCACAACAAAACCACAACACAGTATCAGTGGGAATTATCTATAGGGGGGAAAAAAAGCTATATTTTTCAAAGGAGTAATATTGAGGTGAAATAAAATGGCACAGGAAAGACCAAAAGCAGACCTGGCCCTCAGTTGTAAACAGAACTTGAATAACCAGAAATAAGGTCTGGAATTTGGTTTGGATTTTAAGATATTAAGACATCACAAGACTCGAACCTTCCACTTGCAAAAAGTGGTATGGCTCCCAACACTTCATCACAAACACGCAAGCCACAAGATGTTGACTAAGTGGCTGGTGTACCACAGTACACATGGTACATGCACAGAGCCTTTCTTCTACACATTACATTAGAAGAGCTACAGTTTGGTAAAGGAGAACCAGCTGGGTCCTGTCCCAAATGCTCAAAAGCCATGTTTTCTCTATTGAGTGAAGATGTCATACAGAACTTAGATACAACACTGAGATTATTGTAATATTGTAACAATTCCTAGTCTGATTGCAGTATCCTTTTTATTTGTCTTTGCCACCTGTTAGATTATCCCTTGAAAAGGGTCATTTCCTGACACAGCTTCAAAATAAAGAAATCAGTAGTCATGGCAAGACGTATACTAGCATGCAACATTCAATTATTTTAAATAGATAAAACAGAAACAAAACCAACCAAACAAAAGGGTAAAACATGAAAAAAAAGATGCAAGTACTTTAGTACGTGTTCTAGCAACACTTTATTCTGTTGAAAGCACAACATAAAGTCATTCTGGAAAAGTTTCTACTCTTGTTAGAAAGTTACCTAGAAAAATGATAGTTTGGATCAGATATTGGATCACAAGGGTTTCAAGCTGCTGTGACAAATTTTCTCTTAATATTAGTCTGAAACAGAAAAATTTCATTCAGTTAATACAGAGCAAGAGTTTAGGTGTTCCAATTAAACACAAAGATGAAATTTTTGCCTGTCTTAACAGAACAAATGAGATGTACACTGTGAACATAAATGTGGATTATCACATATCAGAAAGGAGAGACAGTGGTGTTTTTTTGTGGTGGTCCTTTAGGGACCCAAGAGTTGGTCTTGATGATCCTTGAGGGTTCCTTCCAACTTGGATATTTTATGATTCTATAGAAACAAAGAAATCGAGTCATCTGCTTAAAGGTGCTTGAAGTCCCAAGTGAAGCACACAGAAGACTTGAATTCAGCTGAATTCCACACAGCAGTCTCATAGCTGGGACATTATTTTCCTTCCTGTATTTGCTTCTGAATTACAAACCCCTGGCATTCACTTTTTATTATTATTACTATCTTGTTACCACAAGCGCTGAAGATTTATCAATTCCATAGTAACAAAAGAATTACCACTGTACATTCCAAGTACCAAGCAGCCACTGGATTGTTCCTTCTAGTTCAATAGCACCAACAGTATTTCCCATTGTATTTCCCAAGTTGTTCTCATATCTATTCAGTCACATCCTGTGGGATGCAATTGCCTCTTGGAAGAGCAATGACAGCATCTCTCTTCGACCTGACCACCTGGGCCCAAAGAACTCAGTTATTTGGGGAATATCTACTCCTCTGTCAAAGGTGGTTACAGAAGTTTTGAGGAAGAAAGCAAGAAACAGGCAGGGAAAGCATTGGTGCACAAGCCCAAAATTTGAACAGGTCCTTCTGTCTCCCCAGAGAAACAGACAAGAAAACCAAAGGGACTTCCCCTGTATATACAGAGACCACAAGAGAGTGGTTTTAAGTATAACCCCTGCACACACACACACACACACACACAACTTCTACATGTGTATTTATTAAATCAACAGAAATTGTACCAGAAATTAACAACAATACAATTTTGTACTAAGTTAGGAAAGAAGAGGTTAAACCTTCTACATGTTACAGCCTTCAACTACTGTTACAAAGACTGACCAGGAGCTCCACACCAATCTATGCAGCCTCCTACCTTCCAGAAAGAGCTGAAACCACAATTAGAAGCACAGTCACTCCTGAACCCCTACACTTCCAAGGAACTCTGCTAAAGCTAACAGTGTGGCATGGCATTGCAAACATCCAACCCTGACCTCAGAGGCACAGCAATGCTCCACATCAGCTTCTTGCTTTCTCCAGTAACAGTATGTTTTCACTTTGTCTACTGGAAGTTACAAGGCACATTCAATCAATCCCAATCAAACCTGCCCTGCTGCACAGTGAGACCATCCTCACCCCACAGGTCATGCTTGGACTGCAGCCGAGCAGGACGAAACCACTACAGGAGCACCTTACCCCTCTCAAGTCACACCTACTCATCCCTCCAGGATGGATTTTGCCACTAGCAGCTGCATCTTGCCCCTAGCAGCCGCCACTCTCACAGGGGCCTAGAATGACTACTGCTATCGTGTGTCCCGCGACCACGGGACCCCAGAGGAACAAACGGATCACTACTAAACGGACCCTACTTTCCAAGAGGCGGAGCCCCCACCAACCCCCTCCCCCCCCCCCCCCCCCCCCCTCCGCCCCCCTCCCCCTCCGATTACCCGGAGCTCCCTCCCCTGGCCCACGTGGCGACGTGGCGGCGGCCAGCCTCTCCTCCCCGCTACCTGTGCTGCGCCTCCCGCAGCAGACCCGTCAGTGCCCGCACGCTCTCCAGGCGGGCCGCGGGGGCAGCTGCCATGGAGCAGCCCAGCCGCGCGGCCGCCGCGAGCAGCGATCGCGACCCTGAGCCCGCCGCCGCCATCGCCAGCCCCGGTGCGGCTCAGCCCCGCCCCACGGAAATGGCGGTGGCCCGGCCCCGCGGGGCGACCCGAGTATGGCCTCGCCGAGCGGGGAGCCGGCGCTTTATCCCGCTATTTGCTTTTTCTAAGCGTTTGCTGCCGGGGAGCGCTGCGGAGGGTATGTGGGGGGGATGTCCACCCCACAAAATAGCTGCCCCGCCGCTGGGGGTGTCTGGCCTGGGCGCGCGGAGCCGTTCTCTACGACCGCATGGCGTACAAAACACTACCTCAGAAACATGGTTGACGAGCTAACTGTGGGCGTATCCTTCTTTCAAGAGTCAGCCTCTTTTCAAGGGTCTGCTGTGGCCGTCGGGGCCTTCTTGCGATTCTTACAGAATCACAGAATCATGGAGTTGTCTGGGTTGGAAGGGACCTCAAGATCATCGAGTCCAACCTCTGACCTAACACTAACAAGTCCCCCACTAAACCATATCCCTAAGCTCTACATCTAAACGTCTTTTAAAGACTTCCAGGGATGTTGACTCAACCACTTCCCTGAATAGCCCGTTCCAATGCCTAACAATCCTCTCAGTAAAGAAGTTCTTCCTAATATCCAACCTAAACCTCCCCTGGTGCAACTTTAGCCTGTTCCTCCTTGTCCTGTCACCAGGCATATGGGAGAACAGACCAACCCCCACCTCTCTACAGCCTCCTTTAAGGTACCTGTAGAGAGCGATAAGGTTGCCCCCAAGCCTCCTCTTCTCCAGGCTGAACAAGCCCAGCTCCCTCAGCCGCTCCTCATAAGACTTGTTCTCCAGGCCCCTCACCAGCTTCGTTGCCCTTCTCTGGACTTGCTCAAGCACCTTGATATCCTTCTTGTAGCAAGGGGCCCAAAACAACGCAGTACTTGAGGTGCGGGCTCACCAGAACTGAGTACAGGGGGACAATCACTTCCCTAGACCCATTGGCCACACTGCTTCTTATGCAAGCCAGCATGCTGTTGGCCTTCTTGGCCACCTGACTATAGTGAACATTCAGCCGACTATCAACCAATACTCCCAGGTCCTCTTCTGCCAGGCAGCTTTCCAACCACTCTTCTCCCAGCCTGTAGCTCTGCGCCCCAGGTGCAGTACCCAGCACTTGGCCTTGGCCTCAGCCCATCGGTGCAGCCTATCCAGATCCTCCTGCAGAGCCTTCCTACCCTCGAGCAGATCAACACACGCACCTAACTTGGTGTCATCTGTGAACTTACTGAGGGTGCACTCAATCCCCTCATTCAGATCATCGATAAAAATATTAAGGAGGACTGGCCCCAGTACCGAGGCCTGGGGAACGCCACTAGTGACTGGCCTCTAACTGGGTTTGACTCCACTCACCACAACTCTTTGGGCCCGGCTACCCAGCCAGTTTTTAACCCAACGAAGCGTGCACCAGTCCAAGTCAAGAGCAGCCAGTTTCTTGAGGAGAATGCTGTGGGAAACTGTGTCAAAAGCCTTACTGAAGTCAAGGTAGACCACATCCACAACCTTTCCCTCATCCACTAAGCGTGTCACTTTGTCATAGAAGGAGATCAGGTTCGTCAAGCAGGATCTGCCTTCCATAAACCCATGCTTACTGGGCCCGATCACCTGGTTGCCCTGCAAGTGCCGCGTGATGACACTCAAGATAATCTGCTCTATGAGCTTCCCTGGCACTGAGGTCAAACTGACAGGCCTGTAGTTCCCCGGGTTTACCCTCCGGCCCTTCTTGTAGATGGGCGCCATGTTTGCTAGCCACCCGTTGACTGGGACCTCCCCTGATAGCCAGGACTGTTGATAAATGATGGAAAGCGGCTTGGCCAGCTCCTCCAAGAGCCTGCAGGTGAAATGCTTGGTGTGCGCCATAAAAACTTCTGTAGTCCTTTCCTTGCTGTCATCCTATTCACTTTGAGAGATGCTTGCCTCTAAAAATCCAAGCAGATACTTCAGTATGTTTTAAATACACATACAAAAGGTTAACATATTTACATCAGGATAAAAATTCAACCTTCCAGTGGATAAAAAGACTAATTGTAGCCAAATACCATGGAAAGCCTCACTAGACTGGAACCAAATTTAATTTCCAAAGGTAGATGAAAGAATCTGAAAATAATACCTCTAAAAGAAAGTGCAACACACACACACACAAAACAAAGCAAAACAAAACCAACAAACAAACAAACAAACAAAAAACAGTTGTTATTTGTAATACACAATAAATGTTTGTTCATTGTCTTTTGTATTATAAAAACAAGGAGTTCCGTTTGAGGAGCGGGAGTTGCAAAAGCTCCCTGCTGAAGTAAGGAGCTGTATAATACTTGGCTAGACACTATGAAAATTCTTTTACTTAATGTAACAAAAAAGAGAACCACCTCCCCTTCTCTCCTTCTGCATCTCAGTTGCCTCTTTTGTTCAAAGACCCTGCTGCAAAGCTCGTGTAACCATCTCCTGATAAGTTGCTAAACTAGTGTATCAACATCCTGCCTTCTTCCTGTCTCACGCTGGGCCAACATGACCAAATAAAAAAAGAAGTTGAACCACAACGCTGAGGAAGACTATGGCCTTTATCTTCACAACCACCAGAGGGACAGAGACAACCCCCTAGCAACAGTGCGTGCAGTCGCAGAATATACCAGGATGTGCTGCGTAATCCCGGAATTACCAAGATATAAAAAGGGACCCTGGCGGGGGTGAGGTGCGCGCCGTTGGCGGAGCTGAGACTCCCCGGCTGCCCAGCGCTGTTTTGCTTGCTGTTGCTTACTCAATAAATTCCTTTCTATTATTAATGCAATGCTCTCTGAAAATTAATTAAGGGGGCAACTTATAACATTATTCACTTCCAACTGTTCACATCTTCAAGTTTCTGCAAAGCCTTGCTGTCCTGCACAGTTATTTGAGGCCTTGTGAGCAATACCTTGCACCTCAGCAGCAGAGACCCGGTGGGGATTTTACTCTTATCATACCAAACCTAGTCAATGCACAATTTATGTTTAAAGAAAGTGTTCTGCTTTTAGAAATAAACATGCATTTCTTGGCTTACCTTAGGGGAAGGCTTTTTATGATAGCCACTGTTCGTATGTTAGTAGGTGCCTTTGCCAGGCCTTCTCCTGATAATGACTATGTATTTCTTATTAATGCACAAAAAAGTAGTTGACAGCTCTATAGTAGAAATAAATTGGTTCAACCAGCAAGTAGAATTTAAGTACGTGGAAGTTGCCAGGCAAGAGTGAAGACAATCATGCAAGTTCTTCCTTTTAACAGCTCCTATTGACTTTAATACTTGTTTGTTCATGAGTGAAAAAGTTTGTTTGTTTTAACTGAAACTTGAGCCTGAGTGAAGCATCAGGATCATCCTGAACACATCTGAATGTGTGGTGCCTGGAAGTGCTAATTCTGGGGAAGATTGGATACAGCACACAGTCTTTGTGTAACTTGCACATGCACATTTTTTCCCCCTAATCATCATTAATTTAAGAGGTTGGTAAAAGCCATGTTCAAGTTGCTAAAAAGTTTGTTTCTTTTCTGCAACACAGTTCTCACAGTTCTTTTTTTTTTTTTTTTTTTTTTTTTTTTTTTCCACATTGCTACATATATAAACTCTTCTTCCCTCTCTGCATTCATGAAGTCTAATTCCTGATGTAACTATGAAGTCAACTAGACAGACCAGCAGTAGCCTGAAGGTGATTACATCTCACCTGGTTATCACAGGCTAAGCCAGCTAAACAGCTAAGGAACTTGTATCTGTTTGAAGTATGTCTTCCTGCAAAATATTAATTTCTTTTACAAAAAGTTGAGATATGGAGATTCACTGAGACAGTGAATCCAGTAGTTTATCTGGAATTCTTCTTTGTTTTATCATCTTCACTGTTAAAAATACAAATGTGATGCTTCTAATTTAATTTCTCTGGCTTCAGGTTCCAGCTCTTGGTATGCCATCCTATTCTGTTACTGAAGTGTCCTTTTATAACCAGCATTTTCCTCTGTGAAGATCCATTTTCAGTCCACTTTTTTTTAATAATTAGACAATTTAAGTAAAACCTTAAGTGCAAGTTTGAACTTAAGTTTAAAACAACTCTCACTGGAGGGCATTTTCTGCAGTCTGCACATCATTTTTTCCACCTCTTTTCCATATCCCTGCAAAGTTCTAGACATTCTTTCTAAAGTATGTACCCCAGAAATCGAAACACTTCTACCCTCTCCCAAACTGCTTCCTCCATTTTCTCACTATTCATTTTTACCCATTCAAGCATCCTGTCTTTCTTTCCCACAAGATTGCATGTGGAGTATCCATTTCACTTCCTTGCACGCTGTCACTGCAACCATGCCAGTGATCACCAGCATAAAAGCAGTAGGGCCAGCCAGCCTGGCACTGAACATGCTGTGCATGCACCCCTACCACACTTCAGTTCCAGCACATCCAGGGTAGGTTGGAAGCACCATACAAGGACAGATCAGTATATATTTGTGTAACAATATTGTTCCTATTGTTCCACACAACTTCTGTGAAGCAAGCAGTAGAGTACACTAAAATCCAACAAGATAGTTCTATATGAACTCTGAAAATGACCTGTAAATATATAATTTTTGTATCTGATTCCTACATTGCTAGGGGAGGGGCACAATTTGGCCAGCACTCCAGTTTTATTCATCATCATTGTCTTTTACTTGCCATTTTGCCTGTCTTTTACAAAACACAGATCTAGTAAGCAACAAAATTTTGTTTACCCCTTATAAACCTTCACATTTTTGGTGTTTGTTTGTTTGCTTGTTTGTTTTCTGTGACATCTGATGTTTTAAGGTGACAGTTAACCAGCTTTTACTCCATTAAGAACATAGGTTTATAGTAACTGATGAGTTATATTGCAAAATATTTCAGTTCAAGTAGCTGAGAACACAGACTAGATCACAGATGTCCAAAGCATCACAATAGGGAACATCTCTAATGAGAGATTAGATTTTCTGCCTGTTTCATCAAAACTTGCACAATCAGCATTATTGATTATTGCTCACAGATCCATGTGAAAATAGTTTTGCCTACATATATGATCTCTCTTGAAGTTGTTTTTTTTTGTGTGTGTGCTTTAAATAGCTGCAGTGGTTTTGTTTTTCCTCATTTTAGTCACGCTTTCAGTCATTTTCAACACCATTACCTAAGCCATCTTTGTAATAATGCAATACTTTGAGCTAGGACTCCCAAAAAAAGAGTTTTGAAGACTCTCAGGGATAT